ACGCGAGCGGCCGGGCGCCCGTCGCCATCGAGCAGCGTGCGATACCCCCAGGCAATGGGGTAGTAGCCGTCGCGCGGGCAAAAAAACCCCTGGAGGGTTTCGTCGCCGAAGTCCAGCAGCTCAAACAACAAGACGGCGCTCGCGCCCGCGCGGCGAAACCGTTCCAGGTCAACGTGGAGGAGGATTTCCGCCTCCCACCGCGGCGCACGCGCACGACGGAGGCGGAGATCATACGGATGGGTGATTCCACAGGGGGGGTGACGCTCGAACGCAAGAAGGTTCTCCCCGGATACCCCGTTGAGCAGCCACACCCGAACAAACGGATGCACGATGGCGGTATCCGCGTGAAACGGACTCGCGTCGTGGAGGGTCACCAAAAGCACCCCCTCCACCCCACCCTCCAAGAAAAAAGGAGGGAGGAATGCCGATTCGAAGGGGGTTTCGTCTTCCGTCGAGGGCTCATCCATCGCGCCGTATAACGAGTAAAAATAATCCATCAGCTCTATCAGGTTGGGATCCTCGCACGACATCGCGGCGGCCGGACCCCCCTCCCTTTCTTCCTCGCGATCCCCCGTTTCCACGCGGTCGTGTTCGCCGCGTGGCGGGGGGTAAATCGCGGCGAACGGGCCGGAAAGAAGGCTCTGGCGAGGACGCCCCTCCCGCCTTCGCGAATCCAAACCCAACGACGTCGCCTCCTCGAGAGGAGGGGGGGGCATTGCCGGGCGAGGGGCGTCGTCGGCAAAAATGACGAGCCCCTTTAAGGCACTTCGCGTCAGAGGCTCCGGCCGCCTCTCCTCCCCCCCCCCTGCCTCCACCTCCGCCTCCGGGGGGGGAAAGGAGGCGGAAAGGCTCTCGGAAGAGTCCGTGAAGAGCGCCACACGCCGTCGTCTTCCTTTTGACAAGGGTAATTTTGGCTTCACCCGCACCGACTTCACGCGGTGGGAGGGTTTTTTTTTGATTTTCCTCGCCTCCTCCCCCTCAGGAACGATGGGAGGGGGTTGAGGGGGCAGCGGATGCTCGCACGAATCCCCCACGACGAACTCCCCGGTGAGGGGGTTGAGAACGAAATCGCAACCCAGCGCGAGGAGAGACGCGCGGATCGCCTCGGCGGAAGGATCCCCCGTGGGAGGGGTGAAATCATTTCGAGAAATTTCCGTCGGAAGGGGCAGCGGCTCCCCTGCCACGTCGGGGAAATCCCCTGGCGGGGAGACGACTTCAAAATTCGAAGGCTCCACCGAAGGGATGGGGGGAATCGGAATTCCCTCCGTTTGCTCTGAAGGAAGCTCGGATGGCGGCCTCGGCAAGGAGGAGATGAGCGATGGAGGGGGGAGCGGCGCGGCCTCCAAAGCAACACCCGAAGGAGGAGGGGGAGGTCCGTGGGGGAAATCCAGCGTTGGGAGGATTTCCTCGCGAACACCAGCAGGGCTGTTTTCTTTAGGAGTCACTAAAGAGGTGGATGTGGTTGAGGAATTGCTCATTTGCAATTGAATGTTAGGCAAGAGGCCAGCCCATATCTATCAATTAACCTACATCCATCGTTGAGGGAGAAAGAAGTTCTGATTGTCTGCATCGAACTGTTTAGATTTTGACACATGCTGAAATTCAAAAGTAAGCTATTTATTGCTCAGCAATCTTTTTTCTTACCCGTTTTTCAAGTCGATGAGGGTTGAAAAATAAATCGAAAATAAATAAATAAATTTATATATTATGTCCCCAGGTGAGGAGATGAAAATAGAAAGCGCAAGCAAAAACCATTGCCTGTGCTAGTCCATATAAAAAAGATTCTAAGATAAGCCCAAGCTATCCATTTTGGATCACATCTTCAGATTGAAGAAATACGTGATTTAGAAGCAAGAAGCGCTCTTTCGGAGTATACAATCTAGAATGGAAGCTTGAAATAATACTAATAAGCAGAAAATCTCACGCTGTATCTGCTTAAATACACAATCTAACGTTTTGCTTACTTCCATGGCTTCGATGTCTTCAAACTCATTCGCTTAACCCCACAAACAGCAAAAAAAAAAGAATACTTTCATACAATGAAAAGTGTTGACGCACACCGACTCCTCTTTTATGGTTGTACCCATTTCCTATTCGGTGTATGCTGTTTCTTTCATTATCTCTGCCTCCCTCTCCGGCAGCACAACACTCTGAACGACGATCAAATCCTGTTCTGCCTGACTTCCATATATTGCAAGCCTATTTCTATTGAAATATAGACTTTAAATGCGCTTGGGCGGCTTTAATGTCGTTATTTAGATTAGAAAGAACATCCCGAATGATTCCTATTTCCGCGTTTGGAAACTCTAACTTAAGTAGTTCCTCAGGAGAAAGTCTCCTTGGGATAGATGGGGCGGGCTCATGAGGTGGACGTGACATGCTGGGGAATCCGGGCGTGTTTGGGTTCGAAGACGCAGCCGGCATGCTCTGGAGCGGGGCGACTTGTGGTTGAATCTTCTGATACGCAAATCGAGCTAGAAATTGTTCACGACTGAGATCAGTAATGAGTTTGACATACTCCTCACACGAAAGTTTCTCGGACTTCAGTCCATCATCTAGCAAACCCAGCATATCGTCAAGAGCAAGGTTATCCACAACAAGTTCCAAAACCCTCGCCTGTAGCTCATTGCCCGGTATGAGGCACTTGGCATGCTCCTCGATCGTATCCTCATGGCCATTGAGCTGCTCTAATAACGAACTGATATCGCAAGCGTTAGGTAAATACTCCGAGAGCCTCTGTTTATGATTCATTAGATCAGCCTTGGCCTTTTCCAATTCATTACGCTTCACACGAAGCTCTTCCAAGTACTTGAGAGATTGCTTTCGAGTATCAAGATAGCTGGATGTCTTCTGGTTGAGGTTGATGAAGACCTTTTCAGCGACGCTTTCGATAAGTGCGTGGCGTTTCGCTTGTTCAGAGTGCGTGGTAGCTGAAGGATTGGGCATAGTACAGCTCTGAACATTAGATGCAACTTGACCTGGAATGTCTACCAGAGGATATTCCGCCTCGAATTGTTTTTTTAGAGTTGTAAGAATTAATATAATAGGATACGGCCGACTGGCCCCACGAAGTGCATAGAGGGAGTCCAACTGAATGCTACCATCGTTGCTTATCAAATTATAGGGCTGTTTCACGCACATTTTAGAAGGATCCGATACTCTTAAGAAAGCTTTAAGATCATTCATGGGGAATTGATCCCTGAATTCAATCGCGATGATGATTGTTGCTCGACTTGGATCAATGCCATTTAGCCTAATATTCCAGACTACCTCCAATACCGCACCGGTTTGGTATGAAATAATTCTAACAAAATAGGAAGGAAATTCGTTTTTGTAGCCGAAAAAATCACTCAGGTGCCTCGAGATATTCGCTGCGGAGTGTTGGTTGAAGACTTTGGACAAAAATTCAACCCTTACGGCTTCCTCTAGCGTTATTGCTTTATACGTTGGAGTCTCTTGTGGTTGAAAGGGCCTAAAGCCATTGGACATGTTTGTCGACGATTGATTATCTTTTTGACACAAAGTAAATTTCAGTGTGTGATGCTTTGCTACTTCGCATTCCTTTTCAGTTAATTATATTTAAACAAGTGTGAAGCAAGAAGGATGGGAAAGTGATTCAATAATATCATGAAAACGGTGTTGGCTAATCCTCTATCAGTAATTAATAGAAAATTGATGAATTACGAGTAAATTCTATGGATCAAACATTTGAATACACATGTGTATCCCTAAACGATGCAATGCGTATTTAATTTATTTGCATTAAGTTTAATCCACTTTATCCAATATCTTGAGGTAAAGATATGTGGAAAGGAAAGGCAATGACTATATTCAGCTTAAAACAAGAAGATCACATGATCGAAATAACTAATGCTTGTCCTGTTAAATTACTGAAATGCATAATGTGAACATCTTATTAGTTAAAGCAATGGTTGCCATATATCCAAAAAGCAAAAAAGGAAATAACTAAGAGGGAGAGAAGAATACAGAAATAAAAAGACTTCGAAGCGAATGTTACGCATTGCATTAAAAGGTATTAAAATTTTAAAATCGATTTTTCCAATACAATTAAACATTGAACAAAAATAAGCCCAATAATTGCTACTAAATATATAGTTTTTTTTTCAGGAAGACATTTAATTGCATTGGTATTACTTTGAAATGATTGACTAACTTATATGCAATGACTGGATTATAAACATAACTAAATAAATATAATATATATATATATATATATATGTTCATATAGGCGTACACAATGTATTTTTGTTTGTTTGATTTGGCACCCTCTGTGGTGTGTGAAACACCTTATTAAATCACTATATCTGAAGATTGTTATAACAAAAGAGAAACACATGCTGTGGAACTCTGATCATGAATGTGGACTTACTTTGCTGATATTTTTCTCCTTTGCGTTATATATTTTTGTTTAAACTTAGCTGTTTCGTTTAACATGATGTATTTCAATTACTAACATAACAAAAATAACGACATGCAACGGTTTTTAACTTAAACAAACGCAACATATAGCCTGCCTTGAAACGAAGTTGTTTTGTATTCCCGTTTATAGATCGTTGTTCTTGAATAGTAAAAAGCATTACTGCGAAAATGTAAACAACGGGGAAGAAATAGTAAGAAGATACGACAAGAAAAAAGAAGAAGAGAAATGAAGAGTTTCATATCTCTGATTTTCACCCTAAACAAGCAGCTAATATGTTATCCATTAGTAAATGCCCAAACGAAAATATTTTAGTCTTCCAGTGGGTGCGATAACGAAAATTTTGAATTATATTCTTAGTTTCCTTTCCCCACAATCTGCACACGTCTCGGGGATTATCCAACATTATCTGCGTTGTGACTCGAGGCAAAACTGTAAAACACGGAGGAAAGTTAATTTATTTAATTAAATAAGCTTAATATGTTAAAAACAAAAATATAGTGAGGAAAAAAGGTAAAAATAAAATATTGAATTCCCCACTTTTTCAGAATTTGCTAGTGGCATATGATGACATTATAATAAGGGTGCAAAAGCCTAACGACACAAAAAAATCCATCCTCAGACGTCGTATTATTATAGATTCGTAATTCAGTAGATGAGGTTGGCCAGATTACCTGGAAAAAAAAAGGATGCGACGTGTTAGGTGAAAAAGGTATGCAATTCCATAGAATTTATTTGATGTAATTTTTTTTGGTAGTTCCATACATAAAACGAAAAAAAACATAAGAAAAATAGAGTTATCAAAAATCATTAAACGTGACACATAATTATTTATCACGGCTGACGTAGGGTCATAGTATATATAAAAAACACCACCATCGTCACCTGCAACAACAACAACGAAACTATTAAATTATCGCGCATTTACTCCCATAATTACTGCACCGCAGGAAGTGGGCGATGAAAAAAAAACGCGAGACGGTCAGACATCCCCCTAATATATAAAAAGAGTTTAAATACAAGTGTGAGTGGATTAAAAAAATCACTGATTCGCTTAGAGCAAAACTTGATATAAAAATTAATAAATATGCATAGTGGCCTTCCTTTTTTGTTTGGTGCTATTCTGAAAAAAAAACAATAAGCACAGCCAAGCACACCTCTGGGTACTTTTCTTATTCACTTAAATTAGGTAAGAA